AGTAGTAGTAGTAGTAGTAGTAGTAGTAGTAGTAGTAGTAGTAGTAGTTGTTGGAGTAGTAGTAGTAGTAGTAGTAGTAGTAGTAGTAGTAGTAGTAGTAGTAGTAGTAGTAGTAGTAGTAGTAGTTAGTAGTAGTGATAGTAGTAGTAGTAGTAGTAGTAGTAGTAGTAGTAGTAGTAGCAGTAGTAGTAGTCGTAGTAGTAGTAGTAGTAGTAGTAGTAGTAGTAGTAGTAGTAGTAGTAGTAGTAGTAGTAGTAGTAGTAGTAGTAGTAGTAGTAGTAGTAGTAGTAGTAGTAGTAGTAGTAGTAGTAGTAGTAGTAGTAGTAGTAGTAGTAGTAGTAGTAGTAGTAGTAGTAGTAGTAGTAGTTAGTAGTAGTAGTAGTAGTAGTAGTAGTAGTAGTAGTAGTAGTAGTAGTAGTAGTAGTAGTAGTAGTAGTAGTAGTAGTAGTAGTAGTAGTAGTAGTAGTAGTAGTAGTAGTAGTAGTAGTAGTAGTATTAGTACTAGTGCGGGGCCGTCTTGGTCTCCTCGGTGGGACCTCTTGGGGCATCTTGGGGTCGCTTTGGGGCCTCCTGGGGGGGTGCCTCGGATGATTTTTGGAGGCCCATCGTGTTGTCTTGGGGCGCTGTTGGGGCTTTCTTTGGGGACTTTGGCTAGCCTGCGGAGTTGTTTTGGGGACTCCTGCAGGTACGTCGGAAGCTATATTGAACGGTCTTCAGCCAATTTGAGCAGCCTTCGGGATTCCGAAGGATTCCCTAGGGGAAGACCGAAGGATTCCGTAGCATTTCCCAACCGTTCCTAGGGATTCTGTAGGATTCCCCAGCCATTAAGGATTCCTTCGGTTTCTCTCTGGGTGCTTTCGTTGCCCGCGCTTCTCGGCCGCTTTCGTTGCGGTCCATCCTTCGCCGATTTCGTTGGCCGCGCCCCTTCCGAAAAACTTCGAGGTTGGCGTCCAATGCCCCTGCATCCTATACGGGGTAACTGTACCAGACGTTTCGTGGCCACATGGGCTGTCCAATGCCGTGTACCAGACGTTACGTGACCAGTAGCAGGCGTCCAATGCCCCTGCATCCTATACGGGCTAGCTGGATACACATGACGTGGCCAGCATGGGCGCCTGTGGTCTCGTTGCCTCTCGTGCCTTCGGCCCTCGGGCGGTGTGGCGCGATGGCCTTCCGCGCGTGCATCCAGCATGTGTCCTCCACATCGTGCTCCGCATGGCCGTCGTTGTCTTGCAGTGGAAGCCCATGCCAAGAAACACCCTGCTCGCCGCCTCCAGGGTGCCCTGGGTTTCTTGGGTTTCGATGGCTTCGCGACGACCGACAAAAATCAGTGGGCGTCCTGGGATCTCAGTGCCGGGTTTCTTCTGGAAGGTTCTTTGGGGACGGGCCTCTCCACTGTATGAATTGTTTTGCCGAGCTGCGTGGGCCCTCGCACCGCCCCTTCCCCCCACCACGGAGCAGATCTTGGCTGTTCTGAGCGCACGTTTCCAGCAGGTGGGGTCCCCACGGGACGCCCTGCTGCAAACAGTCGCACCGAGCAGGGGTCCGGCGCCAGAACCCCCCTCCTCCCCCACCTTCCGCCCAATGTCCTAACGCCGAGTGAGAAAGCCTTCGCATGCGAACCTCCAGGTCGCTGGCGGGGGCTCACAGCTACCCGCGCTGTGCAGCTCGCCGTCTGGGCCGGAGCGGCTGCCCTTCTCTCCAATGGGGGCGGCGCGAGGGCGGGAAGATGTTCGAGCGGCGCGCATCGCGGGGCACGACGAGCGAAGTCGGGCGACCTGGGAGGCTGGCCTCGAGGTGCTTCCAGCCTGCTGCTGCCTGCCACCGGCCCGAGGCTTAGGTCGGGCATGTCCTCCTGCAGGCGGGTTTCCGGAGGAAAATTTCACACTACTCCAAGCATGTGCAAAAGCAGCAGGAACAAAAACCAGGAAGAACGTCCCCAGACTATTCTTGGACTGTTTTTGAATATGCGTTCTGTAGAGGGACGTGCCCAACTCGACCCGAGGCCACATACCCGAGAAGAACTACATCTTCATGGGCGACTTCGTCGACCGAGGCTGGGGCGGAGGGTTTCTCCGGAGGGCTTAGGCGAGCCGTTCTCCTCCTCCTCCTCCTCCTCCTACTCCTCCTCCTCCTCCTCCTCCTCCTCCTCCTCGGGTCGCCTACGGCCCCAGGGGAAAGCGTGCAGGCCTGGGTGCCGGCTGGGGCGCGCCCGTGCGCAGCGCGCCCTGGCCAGGACGAGGAGCCGTCCGTGCCAGAGCGTTCGGGAGCGCTCTCGGAGCGCTGCGTAGCGCTCTGAGAAGGCCGCGGCGCCCGAGGCATCCTCCAGAGCCGCCGGAGCTCAGAGGTTCTCGATTTGTCCTCACCCGATGTCATCCTCATCCTTGGGGAGGGAGGAGGGGGATGGGGGGGAGGAGGGGAGGGACGGAGGGGGGAGGGGAAGCATGTGGAGAGGAGCAGAGCGCGGGCGGAGGGAGGAGGGGGGGGGGTGGAGGAGGAGGAGGAGGAGGAGGAGGAGGAGGAGGAGGAGGAGGGAGGGGAGGAGGAGGAGGAGGAGGAGGAGGAGGAGGAGGAGGAGGAGGAGGAGGAGGAGGAGGGAGGAGGGGGAGGAGGGGGAGGAGGAGGAGGAGGAGGAGGAGGAGGAGGAGGAGGAGATCGCAGAGATTCTCGCTTCATTCTCCCCCGATGTTGTCCTCGTCCTGGCTTCGTCTCGTCCTTTGCGGAGCGGCGCGGCGCGCGCGCGCGCGCGTCGGACCGCTCCCGCAACGCGCGGGCGGCACGCGACGCCCCCCCTCGAGCTCGGCGGCGCGCGCCCGCCCTCTCGGGGCTTTGGGCCGCCCGCGGCAGGGGATGCCGCCGCGCTGCCTGCAGGGCTCGAAGAAGACGGAACGGCATGAGCATAGGTTTACGGTAGGTTTGCGTCGTGTCGACCGGCGGCGACCCCGCCAGCGGCGTTCAAGGTTGAACGCCGCCGGCGGCCCAGAATCGATCGATGTTGAACGATCGGACTTTGCGGAGACGGCCGATCGTTCAAGGTTGCACGATCCAGCGCGGTGTCGGGAACCAACGCCGGGGTCGACACGGCACGAACCTGCCGTAGGTCGGGCATGTCCCCCTCCAGGCGGATGTTGGCCGAAGAATGAGAATAGTCAAAACGTATTCAACAAATACACACACATGTTCCAACATCGTCTTTTTGGTATATTCCTCCTGTACAGGGACAAGCCCGACTTAAGCATAGGTTTTTGGCGCTCCGCGCGGATTTCTTGGATCGCGCTGCGCCCCCCTGGCGGCGCCTCTGGCGCCGCCCCTGGCGCGCTCCGCGCGCAAGCGAGGGGGGTCCAGCGCGGATCCGAGGAATCGGCGCGGAGCGAGGACAGTTTATGTTCACGCCGTTTTTCGTTTCTTCTGAGGACGACTGCGTCAGAGAAGGAACATGTACAGTCGGACCGAGGTATAAGATCGATGTGGGTTCGTGGAGGGTACCCTCATGGTCTTCGTGTCTGCTGGATGCTCTTGTGCGTCCTGGGGGAGGGTGCCCTCGAGTGATCTTCAGTTTGGCCGACGGGGGGTATCGAATTCTTCCGGGATGTTCTTCTGCCCCAGGTCCGGCCGTACCGATACCGCTGCCCCTCCCTCGTCCCGACGGCTGGGTTCGCCTCGAACCCCTGGTCGGGACGCGCCCGTGGAGAGGTCCAGGAAGCGAAAAAGCGTTCATCGGCGCCTGTCTGCCCGCTCGCACGGGGTCCCCCCGCGTGCCCCCCCTGCACGCTCGCTGCGCTCGTGAGGGTGTCAGGAGGAGAATGGAAAAACACAGACACACTGAATCGCCGACTCCCAGGACAAGATGGGGAAGTTTGGCAAGTGGGGGGGAAGGATTGACAACCCAGAAAGTATGGGCAAATAGAGGGAATCTTGGCATCTGTGTCTATTGATTTGTGTGTCCTTGGGCCCCTTCAGAGAGTGGCCCGTGGCCGGAGGGGGCCCTGCCGGTGCGTGCCGGCAGGTGCTCGCCCAGGGGGCCGCCTGCGAACCCTACCCCTACCCCCCACGATTTCTGAGGGGGAGGGTGGGGTGTACTTCGCTCGGGAGCTCCCGAACGAAGTGAATCCCACCCTCCCCCTCAGAACTCGTGGGGGGTAGGGGTAGGGTTCGCCGGTGGCCCTCTATCGCCCCACGCCCAGCACTTGGCGCGTGCACGGCTCGGAGCGGGCACCCCGCGGCCTGCTGCAAGGGCCCCGCGCCAGAGGGGCGCCAACGCCGCAGAGCGGATCTCGCTTGAGAAACGATCGGATGGGCCCGGAGTGTCCTGGAGAAGTTCGCTCCGGATTTCGAGGCGAACTTCGCGCGGATTTGCTTGTGCCAGGAATGACGACCCAACATACACCGTAGGCGATGCTTAAGAAACTTAAGTTTTCGGCCAGAGTCTCGATGATTCTTAATGTTTCGATGTGAATCCTAACATTTTAATAGAAATGTTGGGTTTTTATCCAAGTTCTGAGACTATGAGTTTCTTAACCCATGATTTCTTAAGCATTTCGCAGGGTGTACACGCAGAAATCCGCGCCGAAATCCGCTGCAGCACGCAGTCTGGTGCAATAGCAAAGCCGGCCCCCGCGGCCCGCCTGCAGGGGCCCCGCGCCAGGGGGCCGGTCTTCGCCCAGGCAGCCCTCGCCAGGACATTTTTTTTGTGTGTGGGAGGGGCGGATGCTGGGCGCAGATGATGATTGATGGTTGATGTTGATGATGTTGATAATGATGATGATGATGATGATGATGATGATGATGCTGCTGCTGCTGATGCTGATGCTGATGCTGATGCTGATGATGATGCTGATGCTGATGCTGATGCTGATGCTGATGATGATGCTTACTTAGATGATGAACATTATAGCTCTTAATGGTGATGATGCTGATGATGATGGTGATGATGCTGATGGTGGTGATGATGCTGTTGATGACGCTTTGGACTCATCTGTGCGGGCAAGCTTCGACGTGCA